CTAGGTTGGAGGCCATTGCTATTGGGGTGGAGGCCATCGCAACTAGGCAACTAGAATGGATGTGAATTTTCGATCTTTTGAGTCGGGATCGACAGGCCACCAGAGGAGGAGCCTCCGACCGAGAGTCTCAGCATGGAGGCACACGAAGCGGTCAAATTCGGTTCGTAGGGTGAAATGATGTGATGCGATAAAGAAAGGAAGACTAGAGAAGAAAGATGAAGAACTAGACATAAGAGCGGTAAGGCCTAAGGCCTTGAAGTGTTGGAATGGAATCATTCGCCACAAGAAGTGCCAGTCTTGACAGACCGGCTTCAAAGTTCAGGCGAGACAAATTGAAACGAAGCACAAAATGAGGCTCTGACATTGATACACTTTAATTTTTTGGTGGAGATTCCGCACTTTGCTCAGAATGACCTATCCTCTCGTGCGCGGCGATTGGTCTTCCGGCAGAAGCAGAAGTCTGCACTGGACCGGGTTGGGCATGCAAACATGGAACCGATTGCATTGTATTTGTTGTTGTGTCAGAGAGTTGCCTTTACGAGATTGGACAGAATTGTCCGGAAGGGTACTTTTCCAACAGGTTTCTATTTTTCAGAAGGATGCCTTATTGAAGGGTGCCTGACCTTCGTGTTTCTCTCCTTTTTGCGCAGTTTTCCGCCACCTTTCCCGTGTTATCTCGGACCACATGAGGTCGATGCTCAGTTTAAGCGGAGTTCTAGAGGTCTCCTCGTGTCCTAGAGCTCGGGATCATGGCATTCTGAAGGTCACAGCAAAGAGGATATTCCCAATCTCGGAAATAGACAAAATTTAATGCGAGTGACATCAATTCCAAAATTCGCCACTGCGTAGAAAGGGTCAAGTAGAATTAGTACAAATCGTCTGTCCAAGCTTCGCTTCGTGGCTGTGCGAGAAGCAAAGTAAACCGTGGCTGAGCCGTTGGGAAATCATCGAAAGTCGAAAGCCCGCGAAGTGATTCGGAGTCAGGAAACTCCTGCGGAGGGTAGAAGCCTTTGAAGTGTACGTCTCCCGAGGGCGTGCGACCGCCGTGCGCGGCGGTGAAGCCTTTTTGCAGATTCAGATTCGTTTGCACGTTTGATTCCAGCGCTCAAAAGGATCTTCGTGCACGTTAAAACCCGCTGGTTGTATCCGCAGCTCGGTGTCGTACGCAGTAAGAACAAGAGCCATCAAAGCAAGAGACATCTGTGAAAGACGGTGTAAGTCTCGCAACGCTGCGGCACTTGGGAAAACGTGTCAAGCTTCGGTTGTGAACGGCCCAACTTCCGGAAAGTCTTGAGGCAAGGGCTCTGTGTAAGCATTGTTATAGCAAGAGGCAATGTGAAGACCTTGATCCGTTGTGTTTTGGTTTGTAAGGCGCAATCCTGAGGGCTGGCGTCCTGCAGCTGTTGCTTCAAAGTCCTTAGTCACTGTCCGTTTGACGTGGCAAAGAGCAAGAAACATGACACTCTCGGCACTTCACTTGAAACTTCGAACTGTCAAAACTGAGTTATGCTTTTTTTTGGTTGTTTTCTTTTGGATGTTTTTCGATCATGGTCTATAGTCACGAAAGCTAGCTGTAGCTAGCTGGAGTCTGTTTTGCTTTAGCAAGGAGGGTGGGAGCCCAGGACCTGAGTGCTGTTACCTGATATATCAGGACTATACCCCCCCCTCCCCCCTGTGTTTGTAGCGCCCTAGGTCCCCTAGGCGTGTCTACGCTATACGTGTGTAGCACCTGTTATTCGTACTTAGATCTGTGTAGATTACTTCAGTCAGCTTATGCTGTAATTCATTTGGCTCAAGACTATCCGCAGCCATAGAAAAGGTGTGCATCGCTGCCGCTCGCACACCGTCGATCTCCGTGGCCTCACTTGGTGTATTCGATCAGGTCCAGTAAAGCTACTGTCACTTCTGGCGAACTTACCCCTCAAAGTGGTAGCGGAGCTTGTGTCTCCTGCTTCGCAACGGTCGGTTTTGCATTCGTGCAGAATCGTCCGACATTCCGGACAGGAGACAACCAAGTAGGTCACTTGTCTGAAAAGTAAAGACCATGGTCCAGATCTTTAACATAGATACGGACGAAGAACATGACTACAGTCAATCGGAAAAGGCTGATCCAGAGGAAGCTTTCGCTGCACAAGGTTCGCGACATCGCCAACAGCAGTCGAGATCCTCAGGTTCGACATTCCGGACATATGAGGCACAACCAGCCACAGGTGTCAAAATGACGCCAAAGATTCCCCCGTCCTTTGATGGACAGTCATCTTGGTTCGAGTTTGAAGATTTGATTGATGACTGGGAAGATATTACTACCCTATCCGCAGAGAAGCTCGGTCCTTCGCTAAAGAATGCATTGACCGGAAACGCAGAGTATTACAAGAAAATGCTCGACAATGAACAGCTTCGTCATGAAGGAAACGGTATTGCGTATTTCAAGGAGACGTTGCGCCCATAAATTTGCCAAAGGAGCAAGCCATGTCTTCTCTGGCGTTTCACGCAGCTCTTGAGGACCTGGCGCGGAAACGGGGAATTTGTCAGTTGGATCGCTCGTTTTGAAGTTGCAAGTAAGAAAGTCATGGAAGCCTTCATGGGCTTGTTAGATCTTTCGACTGTTCCACAGACTGATGATTTCAACTTTGTTGATATCCTCTCGCAACAGCAGTACTTACTACTTCAAGGACTTCAGGATCCCGCAGAAAGAAGAGAAATTGCAGAAAGGATTCGTTCCGAACACATTGAATTGAAACAAGCACATCGTGACACCTTTCCACTGTCGGACAACCTGATGTCACTTATTTCTTAGTTCAGTCCGACCTCAACGAACAGCAAAGAGAAAGGTTCGTAGCCAGTATGGCCTTGCGTCAGATCAACATGAACAACTACACATACTTAGGTGTCAAAGGCTTATTCCTTGATCTCTTTTGCGGAACCGCCACAGGAACTGCCGATCCTTTGATCCGCAGGCAAAGAAGATCCACTTTCCTTGTCCTCCATGAAGGAGACTTGGAGGAAGAATCCGGATACTGGGTGATGGATCAGGATACAGGCGAAGAAGGATTTGTGAGTTTGTTCTCAGAATCCGAATTTTGGGTGTTAGCAGCCAAAGGAGGATACACCCGTAGAAGAATCCATGGAAGAAGATTCAGAAAACCATCCAAAGGCGGCAAAGGTAAAGGCCGCGGAAAAGGAGGCAAAGGTGCAGGGGCGCACTATGCAGAGTACCCTGACAACTCAGGTTTCTATGGAAAAAGCACGAAAGGAAAGAATGGTGGAAAGAAAGGTTTCAAAGGAAAAGATGCGTTTAAGGGCAAAGGAAAAAGCCAGCAACAGAATCAATTCCAGCAGTCCAATGTTGCAACCACCGATGAGCCTTCAACAGCTCAGTCAAATCCTAGCGCCGAAGAAACCTGGAGTGCACATGAAGCAAATTGGTCATGGGACTCGTACGGATACCACACAGACCAGTACTATCCAGAAGATGTCTGGCAGGCAAATGAAGCCGCTTGGCAACAATGGACATACTTTGCGGACGGACAGACGGACAGACCGCAAGATGAAGAGCGCCACAGCTCAGAGCCAAGGCCTGACCAGATGAACCAGTCAACCGATTTCCGATATTCCGGATATCCTGCAGAAGAATTGACTGGTGAAGAACATGTTTCACATCAGTATCACCTAAACGCTGCCGGTAGCAATGCAGACTACCGACATTCCGGTTGTTCTGAAGTGATTGATCCACGCTTCTGTTCATCATTTGTCAACTTTGACGATGGATTTCACCATGCTTTGCTTTCTGAATATGTCGATGTGAGGTACAGCCCGACCTACGTGATCATCGACAGCGGTTGTACACGAGCAATGGGTTCAAGGACCGCCATTATGCGTCTAAAGGCATGTAAGAGACACTACAATTCATCCAAGATTGATTTCTCTTTTGAGCCTTCATCAAGTCGATTTTCATTCGCCAACGGTGAACAGTCCCACGTCCGAGAGAAGCTGGTGATATACTTCCAGAACGACCAGTCACCCACAGGGTGGATCACAACAGCGATAGATATCTTGGATCAAGGCGATGTTCCAATCTTATTTAGCGTTGAGCAGCTCAGGAACCCTCGCATGTCCATAGAGCATACTCCAGTTGGCGACTATCTGACTTGTCCTTTGTTCGGCCTGAAGCGATTTTCGCTCCCAGTGAGCGCTTCGAACCATAATGTCTTAGACATCATGATGTTTGCCAGCTCAGTTCGAAAGCCGAACCACAGCTTCACAGCGATCAATCCTTCGTATGCGTCATGTCCAGCCTGCAAGGGCAAGCGTCGAAAACATACATACAAAGATGGATGCACGAAGGCCGCAACATCAGAAGTCAAGGAAGACAAGTCGGCAGCCGATATTCCGGCAGCTAAGAAGCCAGAGAAGAAAATCGCGAGTGGAGATGGTAAAGTCGATCTACCATCGAAGCTTATTTCGATGCCTCCACCGGCCAAGACGGTGACACCTCCGACATACCGGAAGACAGAAAAGTCACCTGATTTCGGTACGCCGTTTGAGCGTTCGAAGATTCCAAGTTCGAGCTCAGCAGCAGAGAAGCCTGACGTACCTCCAGCAGCACCAGACATGCCGGTGAAGCCAGATCCTCAGGAAGAAACAAAGGAAGACGTTAAACCAATACCAACTACAGCTCACAGAGAGAAGAAGGCTCCAAAGGTTTCAATGACATTGCCGTTAGCATTGCAGAGAATTCATGAAAGGCTGTCTCATCCTACAGAACTCTTGAAACTGCATTTGAAACACTATCACATGTCCACTGAGCAGTTCAAGAAACGCACATCAGCTTTGAAGATTCCTGCTAAGATCTATGAAGAGTATGAAAAAGTAGTTAAGCAGTGTGATACATGTCAGAAGTCAAAAATTGCACCTTCAAGATCAAGAATTTCAGGTATGAGAAGCGAAACGTTCGGTGAACTCACCTTTAATGATCATGGCGAACTAGCTCTCAACGAGAAGTCTAAACTTCTTTTCTTGATCGTCTACGATGGTGCAACTTCTATGACCACTGCTTATGTCTGTAACGGCAAGACTGAAGGAGAAACCATTGGCCGTCTTTTGGAATACTTTGAAACATACCAGTTGAATCCTAAGTGTCTTGTCGGTGATCAAGGTTTCATGGTCTGGTCCAGACGCAGTGTGAGCCAATCGCGTCAGAGTGAGTCGCCTCCGATGCCAATGGACGACTCCACATTTGCCGAATCCGGACGACGTTATGTCGACGTCGCCCGCGTGACTCGTTCACCAGAGTTTGACCGTGACACCGACCGATATTCCGGTCGTGGACAGCCGAAAGGCAAAGGCAAGGCAAAACGCTCTCCTTCACTGTCACGTGAAACGTATCCCTCAATCGAGACCGTTCGTTGCGAGGGAGTTCGTCAGCAGCCTTACGAGTTTAAAGGATATCGCTTGCGCACAGTTGAACA